CTCCAGAATGGCGTCTGTATTTAGTCAAGTACAAGACTAAATTGGAGAAGGTTCAAAGGTATGCCACCAGACTAGTACCCGAGCTGTGGGGTATGAACTACGAGGAGAGACTACGGAACTGAACCTCATGTCGCTGGAAGAAAGAAGAGTTAGAGAAGAAATGATCACAATATACAAGATTCTCAGAGGAATTGATAGAGTAGATAAATTCAATTTCTTTAACACGGGAGTACACGCACTAGGGGACACAGGTGGAAAATGAGTGCTCAAATGAGCTATCTTGAGATGAGGTTATCTTCAGAAGATTTCGGGGCTTTTTAGTGTCTCCGCGGCCCGGTCCTCGACCAGGCCTCCACCCCCAGGAAGCAGCCCGTGACAGCTGACTAACACCCAGGTACCTATTTTACTGCTAGGTAAAAGGGGCATAGGGTGAAAGAAACTCTGCCCATTGTTTCTCGCCGGCGCCTGGGATCGAACCCAGGACCACAGGATCACAAGTCCAGCGTGCTGTCCGCTCGGCCGACCGGCTCCCTAGCTGTAGAGCTGTAGAGACATTAGAAGGAACTTTTTCAGTGTCAGAGTGGTTAACAAGTGGAATGTACTGGGCGGTGTTGTGGTGGAGGCTGACTCCATACACAGTTTCAAATAATAATTAATAATTCACTGTTTCCGGGGACAGGAAGCCAGAGTGTATTCATACACGTTAGGCTTTTATCGAGCCCCCCCCCCCCAGGGGTCGAATTACTGACCCCGCCCAGGATGCAACCCCACAACAAGCTGACTACCTCCTAAATGCTGCTAGGTGAACAGAAGCACTAGGTGAAAGGAAATGTGTCCAATCATTTCTGTCGCACCCGGGATTCGAACCGGGAATTCTCGATTGTGCGTCGAGAACGAACCCGACTGTACTACCGGAACCCTAAAGTGTAGACATGATAGAGCCCAGTAGCCTCAGGAACCTGTACACCAGTTGATTGACGGTTGAGAGGCGGGACCAAAGAGTCGAAGCTCAACATCCCGGAACACAAATAGGTGAGTACACAAAACGGGCAGAGTTTCTTTCAACAGATGCCTCTGTTTACCTAGCAGTAAATTGGTACCTGGGAGTTAGACAGCTGCTGCGGGCTGCTTCCTGGGGCTGTGTGTGAGAGAGAGAGAAAAAAATAAGTAGAGGATATGATATAAGAAGAAAAATAAGTCAGGAGTCAGTGCATTAGACACCCGACAGTCAGAAAGGCGGGGCCCAAGAGCTAACAGCTAGATCCTGCAGGCACAAATGGTAGACAGGAAGAGGAAGTAGTACAAGTCACCGCCGAGGACGCCAGAGGAGAGACTGGTAGACATGACCAGGGACACGAACCCGGGAGGAGTATGTATACAATACAGATGAGCCACTGAACTCTCCTGGCAGCATACACTACTCTTGTGAGGACCTGTGGCGGGCTGGGTGCTGGTCGCCGCCTCCCCCACGCCCCTCCCCCACGCCCCTGCCTCACGCCCCTCCCCCACGCCTCTCCCCCGCGCCCCTGCCTCACGCCCCTCCCCCACGCCTCTCCCCCGCGCCCCTGCCTCACGCCCCTGCCTCACGCCCCTCCCCCACGCCTCTCCCCCGCGCCCCTGCCTCACGCCCCTCCACCACGCCCCTTCCCCACGCCCCTTCTCCACGCCCCTTCTCCACGCCCCTCCCCCACGCCCCTCCACCACGCCCCTCCCCCACGCCCCTCCCCCACGCCCCTCCCCCACGCCCCTCCCCGACGCCCGCCTTTGGTCTCACCTTGGCACGTGCACGCTGGCCTTGGTCCCTCCTGCCCACCTGTCCTGCCACTTTACCCACCAGTGTTAACACAGGGCTGCGATGACAAAAGACGGAAGAGCTTCGAAAAAGCAGAGTGCCTGTGGTGACCTCAGAGTGCCTGTGGTGACCTCAGAGTGCCTGTGGTGACCTCAGAGTGCCTGTGGTGACCTCAGAGCGCCTGTGGTGACCTCAGAGTGCCTGTGGTGACCTCAGAGTGCCTGTGGTGACCTCAGAGTGCCTGTGGTGACCTCAGAGTGCCTGTGGTGACCTCAGAGTGCCTGTGGTGACCTCAGAGCGCCTGTGGTGACCTCAGAGTGCCTGTGGTGACCTCAGAGTGCATGTGGTGACCTCAGCGTGCCTGTGGTGCCCTCAGAGCGGCTGTGGTGACCTCAGAGTGCCTGTGGTGACCTCAGCGTGCCTGTGGTGCCCTCAGAGCGGCTGTGGTCACTACGATCTTTCTTCGAATTCTACGATCAGGTGACAAAGATTAAGCAAGAAAGAGAAGGCTGAGCGGACTGCATTTTTTTGGACTGTCGGAAAGCCTTTGATACAGTCCCCCATAAGAGGCTTGTACATAAGCTGGAGAGACAGGCAGGAGTAACTGGTAAAGTGCTCCAGTGGATAAGGGAGTACCTAAGCAATAGGAAGCAAAGAGTTACAGTGAGGGGTGAGACCTCAGATTGGTGTGAAGTCACCAGTGGAGTCCCACAGGGCTCTGTACTCGGTCCTATCTTGTTTCTGATATATGTAAACGATCTGCCGGAGGGAATAGACTCATTCCTCTCAATGTTTGCTGACGATGCCAAAATTATGAGAAGTATTAAGACAGAGGAGGACTGCTTGAGGCTTCAAGAAGACCTAGACAAACTAAAGGAATGGTCGAACAAATGTTGTTAGAGTTTAACCCAAGCAAATGTAATGTAATGAAGATAGGTGTAGGGAGCAGGAGGCCAGTTACAAGGTATCATTTGGGAGAGGAAATTCTTCAAGAGTCAGAGAGAGAGAAAGAGAAGGACCTAGGGGTTGATATCACGCCAGACTTGTCCCCTGAAGCCCATATCAAGAGGATAACATCAGCAGCATATGCCAGGTTGGCTAACATAAGAACGGCATTTAGACACTTGGGCAAGGAATCATTCAGAACTTTGTATACCACCTATGTGAGACCAATCCTGGAGTATGCAGCCCCAGCATGGAGTCCATATCTAGTCAAGCATAAGACCATACTGGAAAAAGTTCAAAGGTTTGCCACCAGACTGAGACATCACCACATCGCTGCCTAATGCATTCCACCTGTTAACTACTCTGACACTGAAAAAGTTCTTTTAACGTCCCTGTGGCTCATTTATGTACTCAAGTTTCCACCTGTGTCCCCTTGTTCGCGTCCCACCCGTGTTGAACAGTTTGGTGAAGGTGAGGGTGGTGAAGGTGAGGGTGGTGAAGGTGAGGGTGGTGAAGGTGAGGGTGGTGAAGGTAAGGGTGGTGAAGGTGAGGGTGGTGAAGGTGAGGGTGGTGAAGGTGAGGGTGGTGAAGGTGAGGGTGGTGAAGGTGAGGGTGGTGAAGGTGAGGGTGGTGAAGGTGAGGGTGGTGAAGGTGAGGGTGGTGAAGGAGAGGGTGGTGAAGGTGAGGGTGGCGAAGGTGAGGGTGGTGAAGGTGAGGGTGGTGAAGGTGAGGGTGGTGAAGGTGAGGGTGGTGAAGGTGAGGATGAGCGGGTGGTGAAGGTGAGGGTGGTGAAGGTGAGGGTGAGCGGGTGGTGAAGGTGAGGGTGGTGAAGGTGAGGGTGAGCGGGTGGTGAAGGTGAGGGTGGTGAAGGTGAGGGTGGTGAAGGTGAGGATGAGCGGGTGGTGAAGGTGAGGGTGGTGAAGGTGAGGGTGAGCGGGTGGTGAAGTTGAGGGTGGTGAAGGTGAGGGTGAGCGGGTGGTGAAGGTGAGGGTGGTGAAGGTGAGGGTGGTGAAGGAGAGGGTGGTGAAGGTGAGGGTGGTGAAGGTGAGGGTGGTGAAGGTGAGGGTGGTGAAGGTGAGGGTGGTGAAGGAGAGGGTGGTGAAGGTGAGGGTGGTGAAGGTGAGGGTGGTGAAGGTGGGGGTGGGGAAGGTGAGGGTGGTGAAGGTGAGGGTGGTGAAGGTGAGGGTGGTGAAGGTGAGGGTGGTGAAGGTGGGGGTGGTGAAGGTGAGGGTGGTGAAGGTGAGGGTGGTGAAGGTGAGGGTGGTGAAGGTGGGGGTGGTGAAGGTGGGGGTGGAGAAGGTGGGGGTGGTGAAGGTGAGGGTGGTGAAGGTGAGGGTGGTGAAGGTGAGGGTGGGGAAGGTGGGGGTGGTGAAGGTGAGGGTGGTGAAGGTGAGGGTGGTGAAGGTGAGGGTGGTGAAGGTGAGGACGCAAGCCATCGTCGTCTGGTGCTGCTGGAAGCTGAGGTAACACAATGAGAAGTGCTGACACAGATCACAACAGTGACAACAGTTTCAACAGTAACTACTGACGCTGAAATAACTGCTGATTCAGCAGTCGCAGCAATAACAGCAGGAGTAGAAGTGACAGCAAACACAGCAGCAGCGGTAGCAGCAGTAACAGCAGGAGTAGTAGTGACAGCAAACACAGCAGCAGCAGCGGGAGCAGCAGCAGCAGCGGGAGCAGCAGTAACAGCAGGAGTAGAAGTGACAGCAAACACAGCAGGAGCAGCAGTAACAGCAGGAGTAGAAGTGACAGCAAACACAGCAGGAGCAGCAGCGGTAGCAGCAGTAACAGCAGGAGTAGTAGTGACAGCAAACACAGCAGCAGCAGCGGGAGCAGCAGTAACAGCAGGAGTAGAAGTGACAGCAAACACAGCAGCAGCAGCAGCGGTAGCAGCAGTAACAGCAGGAGTAGTAGTGACAGCAAACACAGCAGCAGCAGCGGGAGCAGCAGTAACAGCAGGAGTAGAAGTGACAGCAAACACAGCAGCAGCAGCAGCGGGAGCAGCAGTAACAGCAGGAGTAGTAGTGACAGCAAACACAGCAGCGGGAGCAGCAGTAACAGCAGGAGTAGAAGTGACAGCAAACACAGCAGCAGCAGCGGGAGCAGCAGTAACAGCAGGAGTAGAAGTGACAGCAAACACAGCAGCAGCAGCAGCGGGAGCAGCAGTAACAGCAGGAGTAGTAGTGACAGCAAACACAGCAGCAGCAGCGGGAGCAGCAGCAGCAGCGGGAGCAGCAGCAGCAGCGGGAGCAGCAGTAACAGCAGGAGTAGTAGTGACAGCAAACACAGCAGCAGCAGCAGCGGGAGCAGCAGTAACAGCCGGAGTAGTAGTGACCGCAAACACAGCAGCAGCGGTAGCAGCAGTAACAGCAGGAGTAGTAGTGACAGCAAACACAGCAGCGGGAGCAGCAGTAACAGCAGGAGTAGAAGTGACAGCAAACACAGCAGCAGCAGCAGCGGGAGCAGCAGTAACAGCAGGAGTAGAAGTGACAGCAAACACAGCAGCAGCAGCAGCGGGAGCAACAGTAACAGCAGGAGTAGTAGTGACAGCAAACACAGCAGCAGTTGAAGTGACAGCAAACACAGCAGCAGCAGCAACAGTAACAGCAGGAGTACCTGCGGTCTCCCGAGTCTGGTTTAACCTTTACACATGATGAAGTCTGAAAGAAGCAGAGTGCGGCTCGATGTATTATTCAGTTAAGAAATTACGACCACCTAAAGGACAGAGCGGGTGTAGCGCTCTGAAGAGTGGCGGTGAGGCACTCACTAACCCACTATTTACTCACTAACCATTTACGATCCTGGACCTCGTGGGTGAGCGGCCAAACAGAAAAAAAATAGAACGTGGGGTGTTTCCAATTCAAAATGTATATCGAAGTATCGGTCATCCTAAATTAGGTTGATAAAGTTTTTAGTGCGGACTCTTTCTGACTGTTGAGCTGAAAACGGGATATTAGCGTCGCTCACACTCTAGTTTAGGGGAGACTGTGGTATTTACAATGAACAGAACTATTGTACATGCTTTTAAAATTCCTGACGATACATTTTGTTAAAAGTTTACGTCAGTATTGACAATGGTGGAGATTGCAAGACAAGCGAGGAAGGTGGGCGAGGGGGGGGAGAAGGGTGTCAAGAGGAGGAGGAGGGTAGTAGAAAGAGAGAGCATATAATAGGCTCGTGAAATAAATGTGTCTCTAGGAGTAGGTTTCAACTGAGCTGAGATGGGATTACAGCTCCTGCTTGCAGTTTCACCAGGTTCCTTATATGATAGTTCCCTATATGATATTTATATCATGAGAACGTACTTTGAAACTGAGATTTTAGGAGCAGGCTTCAGATGATCTGAGGCAGGATAACAGCTCTTGCTACCAGCTTCACTAGGCACGTCATTTAACAGCCCCTATGATCCCTAGTCTTAGTTTAAAAGAGAGAGAGAGAGAGAGAGAGAGAGAGAGAGAGAGAGAGAGAGAGAGAGAGAGAGAGAGAGAGAGAGAGAGAGAGAGAGAGAGAGAGAGAGAGAGAGAGAGAGAGAGAGAGACTGAGACTGAGACAGAAACGAACGAAAGAGAGTATGAGAGAGAGGCGCCTGGCGGGGCCAGGAGCAGCAGCCCGTCCCCACAACCACTACTAGACGACAACAACAACTAGTTATGAGCGTGCAGTTGTTGGCCTCTTCAACAACGGCTTCCTTGCCTTCCATGCATACGACCATGGAGGGACAACGTCGTGCCTGCTGCCACCCAACATAGCAGGGAAGATCCCATCATGATGTTCATTCACACTTAACCCACAAGTCGCCTCTACACATATGTATTAATAGTCAGAATACATATATCCTGGCGATTTGCGTATCGTGTTCGCCTCTCAGCTGGAGACAGATGGTAATTGAAGAAATCCTATGCATCCCATACTGGTGTATAAAGCAATTACCTGGCTGCATTTAATGTGAGTATCGGTAATTGAAATTTTAATTGTAATACCCCAGGTAGCAATTATGCGGTCTCCCAACACCGACTGTTAAGGTGAACATAGTCATAAGAGATGGTGTTATCATTATAGTCATCCAAGGAAGACAAGTCCTCTAGACCATAGTTTAAAGTTCAGGTTAACATAGAAAACTGTGTTAATGGTCTTCTTGTGTCTTTGGTACACCTGGTCTGGACCCCCCATTCCTCCAAGATCACTTTCACAGTAAAACTCTGGGTTTGTAACATGCCTTTAAGTACGAAAGTACTTAAGGACATATATATAAAGGATATTATATACATATTAAGGATATATATATATATATATATATATATATATATATATTTTGGTAGCAGTCTTTCTTGTAAACATATATTATTAAATATGACCGAAAAAGTAAGATTAATAATTCTAACACGAATTTTCTCAATATTTCTTATGTTTCTTTTCACTGTCGATGGTAATTTAAAAATCAATTCTCCAAAATTCATTTTTATTTCTAGTATGACGCGACACTTCAACGCGTTTCGTAATAACTTATTACATTTTCAAAGACTTTAGTTTACACACACAACTATAACCTGCAAACACTAAACAGAGTTCTACTATGCCATAATTTAAACAGCTTTTATCTTATATACCCGCATTTGGGTGAGGTGATATGTTACAACAGTTTTGGATGAAGTGAACAAAACTTTCAACACAAGACAGAACACGAAACAATGGGTATAAATAGGGTAAATTAAAGGGAAGAATGGAAGTAACTGCAAAGGGCCTATTGGCCCATATTTCTTCATGCTTCTATATTTTTGTGCGGAGTCTTGAAGTGGGTAGAATATAGTTGTGCATTAATTGGCTGTTGATTGCTGGTGTTGACTTCTTGATGTGTAGTGCCTCGCAGATGTCAAGCCGCCTGCTATCGCTGTATCTATCGATGATTTCTGTGTTGTTTGTTAAGATTTCTCTGGTGATGGTCTGGTTGTGGGAAGAGATTATATGTTCCTTAATGGAGCCCTGTTGCCATGTCGACCAGGCCTCCTGGTTACTGGAGGTTGCTAGCTTTAAGTTATGTCTAATAATCTGACCTTGATTCTGCTTTCAAGTCCCATGAAAATTTTGCAGGTGATAATCGGACGGGTTGGATAATCACACCTCGTAACCCTTCAGCCTTCCGTGACGTGGGGGATTAGTTCCCTTAGTCTTTCCCGATAAGGTATAATGCCAAACAGTACCGGAACTGGTCCGGTGGCACACCTCTGGACTTTCTCCAACTGGGTTTTGTGTTGGAGAAGGTCAGGCCCCGAGGCTGGCGCCACATGTTCCAGGAGCGGTCTGATGTATGTTGACGTGATGGTGGGTGGCCAGGGTGACGCAGGATGAGTTGACATGATCAGGGTGAAGGTGTCCCTCTGTTACACGACTCTTCTCCCTCTTCTTTTCCTCTTCCACCTCTCTTCCCCCCGCCCTTGTCCCCTACTCCCCGTCACCCCCGTCACTCCCCTCCCGCCTTTTGAGCAGTAGGGAGGTGTCACGTGTAATTGTGTTTGTTTCTCCTGGCCTTTGTTGGTGTCAGGTGGGCCGTCGCGCCGCGCTTACCGCCACACGCCAACCAATAATGTTGGTAGACACCAGATAACGCCACCCACACGCCCCCTGCCTCGGCTCCCGCCACAACCCAACGCTAAACTTAGGACTTCGAGGACCTGTTCCTTAGCACTGTGTGCACCCGAGCCACACAGCGCCACTCATGGCGTTTTCTCGGCAACTTCGTGGAGTGTATTTACTATTTGTGTCTGCAGAATTGACTTGTTAGATCTTGGACCCCGCCTTTCTAATCAATCTATTTGTTTTCTATTATGTCTACTACATATATTTCTTTCTAACACACATACACACACAGACACATCCCCCCAGGAAGCAGCTCGTAGCAGCTAACTCCCAGGTACCTATTTATTGCTAGGTAACAGGGGCATCAGAGTGAAAGAAACTGCCCATTTGTTTCCGCAAATCGAACCCGGCGAACCACCCCAAGGGTCATTAAGACAACAACCTCCAAGCGCTATCAATTCAGTCGAGAGGCCTTCCTCAACATGTGTGTGTACTCGCCTATTTGTGCGTGCAGGATCGAGCGTTGGCTCTTGGATCCCGCCTTTCTAGCCGCCGGTTGTTTAAAGCAATAACTCCTGTCCTTCTCTATCATGCCTAGTTTTAAAGCTATGAATAGTGTTTACTTCCACAATGTGCTCCTTTAGTTCATTCCATTTCCCCATTACTCTCACGCTAAAAGAAAACTTCCTAACATCTCTGTGACTCATCTGAGTATCCAGCTTCCACCCATGTCCCCTTATTCTGTTGATTATCCGCGTGAACATTTCGTCTGTTTCCACTCTGTCAATCCCCCTGAGTATTGTGTGTGTATCATATCTCCCCGCTTCCTCATTTTTTCTAACATCGTCAGGTTCAGTTCCTTCAGTCGCTCTTTATGTGCCATCCCTTGCAACTCCGGTACTAGCCTCGTTGCACATTTCTGAACCTTTTCCAGTTTCCTAATGTGTTTCTTTAGGTGGGGGCTCCATGATGGGGCTGCATACTCTATGACTGGTCTCGCGTAGGCAGTGTAAAGCGCTCTGAATGCCTCCTTACTTAGGTTTCTGAATGACGTTCAGAAAATACGTTTTACTAGCGTAGAGTACGCTGCTGTTGTTATCCGATTTATATGTGCCTCAGAAGTTAGATTTAGTGTTACGTCCACTCCCAGGTCCCTTTCTCGACTTGTCACTGGAAGATAGTTTCCCTTCATTGTGTACTGTCCCTTTGGTCTCCTCTCACCTAGTCCCATTTCATAAGTCCCTAGAACTTTACACTTGTTCGTGTTGAACTCCTGTAGCCATGTGTGTGTGTGTGTGTGTGTGTGTCAGTTGGGAGTATATTTCACACATGGTTGCTGCAAGTAGCGGCATTTGTCTGTGAAACTGAAACCTAATAGAAGCTATCCGGGGCGCCGTAGTAAGGAGGTCACAGTGATGTGCAGTACTGTGCGTGCCCGACCACCCCGGGCACGCACTCACCTTCACACAGTCCACGTGGCCAGTGACACCGCAGGAAGAGTACTCTACTTTCTGCCACCATTGGTATTCCTTCGGCCACAACTGGTACTCTTTCTGCCACCAATGATATTTTTGCCACCACTGTTGTGGGTGAGCGGAGTAGGAGACCAGGTCAGACCAAGCCACGGGGGTCTAACCAAATTAGATCCCAGCTCCTTCTACTAGATAAGATCCAAACTGTTCCAAGCACATAATAAGATAGGAAATTTTATTTACAGATACAATCTCAGGTTTTTCCAAGCAAATATGTTGTGACATCTTCAAAGTAAATGCGATTTAACCTTTCCCGAGAAGGTATGATCTGATCTTTACTAAGATGATACGATCATAGCTTTACGGAGCAGCTGAGTCGCAAGAATTTCCGACCGGGCGAGCCTCAAAATATCCGTGAATGAGTCGTGATGTAAATATGTTTGTGGGTGATTAATGACTTTGGAGTGGTTGGCGGCGGTTGTCTGGTTGATTACTCCCATTCCCTGTGTTGATCACCGGCCAGATGAGGAGCAGGGGGGCCTGGGAGGGGGTGAGGGGGGAGGGCCTGGGAGGGGGTGAGGGGGGAGTGCCTGGGAGGGGGTGAGGGGAGTGCCTGGGAGAGGGTGAGGGGAGTACCCCCAACCCTCGGCGACATTCTCCTCCTCCACTTGAGCCAGATTATTCAGGAGTCAGGGGGAGCCGGAACACAGAGTTGTATAGCGAGACGTCTTCCACCGCCCAGTGCAGGTCACACACAATTAGTCAACACCTGTTGTCTACTCACCCCTCCCGCCCCTCTCTCTCTCTCCTTCCTCCTCTCTCCACCCCTCTCCCTCCTTCCTCCAACTTTAAATCGTTTCCCCCTCTTCTTCCCACCACCACCGCCACCTCTTCCCCGTCAACTGCTACTCCCGCTGATATATTAGACGCCAGCAATTATCTCTGTGCAAGATGGTGTGTGTATGTCAGGGGACGTGTGTTAGGGCGGCAGAGGGAAGCCATCACCCACCTTCAAAGCCCTTGCCCACTCTTTATCACCCAGTGTGACTCCTGGTGGGAGGTTTTTAGCGAGCAGTTTGTCGCCTTGGCTGCCACCCGCTCCCATACATCACCGCTACCCAGAGTTGACGCCGGTATTAAAAATCCCAGGACTTGTACCCGCCCCGGGTGACGGATACCCGCCCGCCGTAACGACCTGGGAGATGGACGGCCCGTTCATCGATTGGTTCCCCGGGTTATAGTAGAGGAGTGAGTGGCAGGGCGGGTAAATTTTTTTTTTTTAAATTTTGCCCCGAGGGGCGAGTTTATTGGGCAGCGCCACTCATCTTGTGAGTGAACATACCGCCATAGCAGAATGTACAACACTCCCCAATAGGAAGAAAACCCGCTGGGTTGTTCATCCTGTCACTTGTACCCAGACACAGCTGGGACTTGCTTAACTGTCTCAAGTGAACAGCTCCTCAAACAAGAAGATTAACATTTATCAACAGGGCGGGTAATAACCCGCCTCACAACCCACTCCCTCGTCTTCTCCTGCCACTCACACAACACTAATATACCAAAGGAATATCTTAAGATCGATTTGTTCGAACTTGTCTGATATGTGAAGAATGAGAAGCTGTTTTCGTTAATATTATCCCTGTTAAAGAGTGTAGGAGAGAATTGTGAGAGTTTAAGGAGTATTGGAGAGAATTGTGAGAGTTTAAGGAGTGTTGGAGAGAATTGTGAGAGTTTAAGGAGTGTTGGAGAGAATTGTGAGAGTTTAAGGAGTATAGGAGAGAATTGTGAGAGTTTAAGGAGTGTAGGAGAGAATTGTGAGGGTTTAAGGAGTGTAGGAGAGAATTGTGAGGGTTTAAGGAGTGTAGGAGAGAATTGTGCGAGTTTAAGGAGTGTTGGAGAGAATTGTGAGAGTTTAAGGAGTGTAGGAGAGAATTGTGAGGGTTTAAGGAGTGTTGGAGAGAATTGTGAGAGTTTAAGGAGTGTAGGAGAGAATTGTGAGAGTTTAAGGAGTGTTGGAGAGAATTGTGAGAGTTTAAGGAGTGTAGGAGAGAATTGTGAGAGTTTAAGGAGTGTTGGAGAGAATTGTGAGAGTTTAAGGAGTGTAGGAGAGAATTGTGAGAGTTTAAGGAGTGTTGGAGAGAATTGTGAGAGTTTAAGGAGTGTTGGAGAGAATTGTGAGGGTTTAAGGAGTGTAGGAGAGAATTGTGAGAGTTTAAGGAGTGTTGGAGAGAATTGTGAGGGTTTAAGGAGTGTTGGAGAGAATTGTGAGGGTTTAAGGAGTGTAGGAGAGAATTGTGAGAGTTTAAGGAGTGTTGGAGAGAATTGTGAGAGTTTAAGGAGTGTAGGAGAGAATTGTGAGAGTTTAAGGAGTGTTGGAGAGAATTGTGAGAGTTTAAGGAGTGTTGGAGAGAATTGTGAGGGTTTAAGGAGTGTTGGAGAGAATTGTGAGAGTTTAAGGAGTGTAGGAGAGAATTGTGAGAGTTTAAGGAGTGTTGGAGAGAATTGTGAGAGTTTAAGGAGTGTAGGAGAGAATTGTGAGAGTTTAAGGAGTGTAGGAGAGAATTGTGAGGGTTTAAGGAGTGTTGGAGAGAATTGTGAGGGTTTAAGGAGTGTAGGAGAGAATTGTGAGAGTTTAAGGAGTGTTGGAGAGAATTGTGAGAGTTTAAGGAGTGTAGGAGAGAATTGTGAGGGTTTAAGGAGTGTTAGAGAGAATTGTGAGGGTTTAAGGAGTGTAGGAGAGAATTGTGAGAGTTTAAGGAGTGTTGGAGAGAATTGTGAGAGTTTAAGGAGTGTAGGAGAGAATTGTGAGAGTTTAAGGAATGTTGGAGAGAATTGTGAGAGTTTAAGGAGTGTAGGAGAGAATTGTGAGAGTTTAAGGAGTGTTGGAGAGAATTGTGAGGGTTTAAGGAGTGTTGGAGAGAATTGTGAGAGTTTAAGGAGTGTAGGAGAGAATTGTGAGAGTTTAAGGAGTGTTGGAGAGAATTGTGAGAGTTTAAGGAGTGTAGGAGAGAATTGTGAGAGTTTAAGGAGTGTAGGAGAGAATTGTGAGGGTTTAAGGAGTGTTGGAGAGAATTGTGAGGGTTTAAGGAGTGTAGGAGAGAATTGTGAGAGTTTAAGGAGTGTTGGAGAGAATTGTGAGAGTTTAAGGAGTGTAGGAGAGAATTGTGAGGGTTTAAGGAGTGTTGGAGAGAATTGTGAGGGTTTAAGGAGTGTAGGAGAGAATTGTGAGAGTTTAAGG